CGCACCATAATTTTCGCACTTCCAGCGCGGACATCTCGAGCTTCTCCCACTGTAAAGATATTATGTCTCGTTTATCTTATACTTGACGAATTGTAACATGACAGATACTTTTAATTCTCGGAAGAAACTTTCCTACGATGAAGCAAGTTCGCTTACCTCGCAAAACGGTTTTGTCTTGGCATGCATGATAAATGTGAATTTGCACAATTCGCAGGCGCGCGTGTCTGAAGCTTTTATCCATTGTTGAAGGCAAGCTTGATGTACGTAGCGCAGACTGCCACTGCAATAGCAAGGTGCTAACAAAGGGGCGCCTTCCTCACCCTCGCAATGGCAGATCCTATTTTACAAAATGCATGATTTTCTCACAATGAAATAAAGATTGTACACGTATATGTATATATCTGTAAATAGTACGTTGTACAATCGTATATAGTAACGATAGAATTACGATCTATTTACCTGCAAATATCATGGTTGGTCGAAGACAATGTGTTCACGGACGAGTGGCAATCATCTGGTATAATAGTAACTACTGTACCATAAGCAAAATTCTGAAATGAATATATTTTTATGAGTCACAACGGGAAGAGGTTATTATCAAGATACCCTTATCTTTCTATACAATTTATGTCAACGCATAAGTACTTCCCAGATAATGTGTTATCGGGCTACATTAATAATCATCAAGGTGACAATTATAATATTTAAGAATATAAAATATTTCAAACTTTGCGCTTTATGTCTTTGTTTTCGCAATATTGCTTTTGTACTTTAATTAATTCAATACCTTTATTTTTGGAACATAATACATAACGTGACCTCTATTAACTTTTTGAACTGTAGATTTTTCAGTTTATATTTTGAATTTTCTTAATGAAAATAAAAAGCGAGATAAATTATCATTTATCATAAAATTATACATCTTTGTATTTAAGTCTTAAGTTAGAATTTTATCGAAGTACAGTTTACTTTAAATTAACTGAAAAATATGATTTGATTTTTTGTTGCATTTTCAAAAAAATTTCTATTTCCAATGATGTAAAATAACTCAAAATTACAGTTAGGTAGAATTAACGGTTCTGCATAAAGGAAAACTCTATACAAAGACCTTGCAATTTGCAGAAAAAAAGCACATAGTAAAAGACGTTTCATATTTTCCACAAAGATTTAAAAGAGCTAAATAAAGTAATGTATATTAATTCTCAATAGAACGGTCACCTGTGGTATCCATTCTGATAGAGCTTCTCCACCAGCAGGACTCGTATTATTGGAAGGACCAATTGACAATGGTGGTTGCCAATCAGGCGGATTAACATTAATCTGATGAACCGGCATTACTCTCCAACCTCGCCAAATATAATAATCACTGACAATAAAATTTGATTAAATGTATCTTGGATACATGGTTATTACGTTTTTTTTTGGTATATATTTCGACGCCGAAATTGCAGTATTATATATTTATTCGTATTTTTCAAGCATTATTCAGCCTTTAACATCAAAATGTGTACAGCCTGAAATCAGATATGAAATCAGAAGTGTTACATTTATAAACAGATCTATAAATAACGTACATAAAGTTATTTGGTACGAAAGCATTATATATACACACACACACACACAAACACATTTATACGTATATATTACAAGCTACATTCAGGTGCAAATTCTTTACATAATTATATAACTATAATCTGTTTGCAGCAGCAATTTTTATCCACACATACACACAAGCGTGCGCGCGCGCACGCACGCACGCGACACACACACCACACACACACCACACACACACACACGTTTATGTATACATTTTACCAGTATGTCTGCCAAATGTATTCAACTTATAAATGTCTAGTTAATGAATGAATAATTAACTCAGATTAAAACAATCCGTTTGGCAAATATTCGGACAATAGTTTAACGGATAAGCTCGACGAATAATCAGTTTGTCAACAATATATCCAATAACATGAAGTTTAAAAAAGACATAGATTTTTTTTCTTCTCGAGGGAATTTGTGATAATCGAGCGTTGTTAAACCAAGTCGTTCCACAAACGAGATCAGAGAAGCGACGAAGGTAACTGGCGTGCGTCGCGCTGCGTCGCAAATCGCGAGGTCTCCTCGCGTTTTGTGCGAGATCGAGCCGCATAAAAACGCTCGTCGATATCGCCCCGCGCGAGGGATTTCAGCGGCGCACTGCAGGAGGAACAAGAAGAGGAGAAGGAAAACAAAGCGCACACTGATACGTCACGTACATACTACACGCTCCTGCCCACCGTAGTCGCCCGTCGTGTGTTGTCCCTCGGTCGGAGTGAGTCGGTGTCTTCCGTCGGCCAAGTGACGAGGATCCGCCGGGCCGGGCGGCGAAATTATTCACGAACCGTTTTTTAATATATTACGTCGCGACAACGGAGGAGAGAAACGGGCGGAAAACGGGCACGGGCCAGATTTTGACACTTCACCCTGAGTCAATGACACGACAAACGGGAGGATGTGTCGCTCGGTGTGTCTCTCCCTGCAATTCCGCGTGTGCGCCCGCGCCCGCGCGCGCGCGCGCGCGCGTCGAAGTGTGGCAACCAAACCAAGCGGAGTCTAATCGCGTGCCTTGGCACGACGGCTGGCGTCCACGTAACACCGTCGCGAGCGTGAAAACGCGCTGACACTCGCCGCAATAATTCGCGAGACAACAACACCATTCGCCGTCCTCATCGCAGCGCGCGACCTTTTCACCCCCGCACGGCAAAACAGACAACAGTCGAAAGACAGCTGCGCGTGAACCCCGTCCGTCCGTCTGCTACGCCGCCATGACGTGACGTAGCCGCGGCCTTGGACGCGCCCGGCCAATGGCCAGCCGCGTGAGCGCTGTCGGGTAACGTCTCGCCAATAATACCGCGCGATTTCGAATCCCGCCGTTAAGCTGCTATTCGCGGCCACGCGATACCGGCTGATATCTTTATCGCCGATAAATACATGAGAGTTCCTGCGATTATTCACCATTATTCGCTGTCCAATCACGATAATGTCACGTTCCACGTGTCGTTTATCTCAAATTAAGGAATATCTACGAAATTTTCATATCTTCGGTTTTTTGTACCGCGCACGTGCATGGGCGAATTCGCTTAATTTGTGCGAAGATGTAGGAAAGAATCGAAAATGTAATCACAAAGGAGAAAATTTTATTCACTTGTAAATTCATATTACGACGTTTAATAATAAGTCAAAGGATAATAATTCAAGAATAATAACAATTCGAAGAATACGAAATTCAAAGATTTGCAGATGATCTAGACTAGAGTAAAAATTAAGTCTAAAGATAAAAATATATACATCTCTATACATATACATAATGTATACATACATATATACATTAAATACGCACGTATATATATATTATATATATATATATATATTTATATATAATATATTGTATGTTGTGCATTATATGACAATATATTATATATCACATACAATACATGTAATACAATATACCTACATGTTGCTCTTAGCTCGTACAAGTGTATAACATATATATGCTTATGTATATATATATAGTATTTAGAACTATTCATTGAAAATTTCATCAATCTTCTTGGTAACTGATAAATTTGATTGTATGTCAAATCGTTCCGAATTGCCTTTATACATATATGTACAATGTATATAGCGTCATTTTTTCTCTGTATCGCGCCTGTATTATTCATTAAGCAGATAGGTATGTATTCGTTTTTATACAACAGATTTTGTCAATTATCACCTGGTAAAATGCATAAAAGTCGAAAACTTATTTCCTTTTTGTCATATCGTTTATTAATTTTTATATTTCAAAATTATTTGATGCTGGCTCAATACTGTTTTAGTTACTCTGAAAAAAAAAAGTAAAATCCTGAGAATTTTTATTTCTCTAGACCAAGTAGCGGTAGAAATTTATGTACACCGTAAATAATGATTCACTTAAAAATCTTACAACAGTTCCAATAAAAAATAATATTGTATCTGTACCGTCATGAACGGTAATATATTATTTATATATAGATAATATATTATCTATATATTTCTTTTTCTTTGAAAACGTTGAAGGCATACACCATACTTTTTGAAAGTAGATTTTAATTTGAAACAAGATTGCCTTAGCGTGTTTAAACAGAGAATAGGAAGTAATTATTCTTTTATGAGAATTAACAGATATTGCAAGGTTACATACTCAAATAACGTAAACAAATAATATACATATACATTATGAGTCATTGTATAAAGTATAAATAAGAAAATATATACACTTATATATTAAATTATGAATGTAATTGTATTAAATTAAATTAAGATAATTAAAAGGCGTACTAAATCACTTTCTAATTACATTTTAATATTATAACATAAAATACATAATTTGTTATTTTGAAAATATATTTTAACCAATTACGGTAATAAACTAACTCGAGTTTGTAATCGCGTTGTCTCTTAAAAATTAAGATTTGTTTATAGGCTAATAAATAAAAAATTTGAGCAGTTCTCTTAATATTATAAATTTACAATTCTATGTCCAAAGTAATGGGTCAATTCTAAGCAGAATTGTAAAGACTGGTAAAGTGTTCTCGTAAAACTTCTAAGAACTTATGACTAATATTCTAATTTTATGAGTATGTATTGTAAGACATGATTATTTGTAAATATCTATGATTTCTTGTTATGGTTAAAATTTACAAGAAATTGTAGATATTTACGAATAATCGTACATAAGAAGCTGTCCATAAAAATATAAAGGTACAAGTACTTAAAAATTTTTACAAGTCTTACAAAAACATGTTACGATTCTGCTTAGAATTTAGACATAAGTTTCCAAATAAATACAAATTAATAGAACATGTATATTAAATGTTTTCTTAAACGACAAAATATTGTAAAAACCTCTCTGTGAAGTTTTTTCTAATGTATAAAAACAAAATTAAAGATTTATAATTACCAATTTATGTGTATATAAATAAAGTCACAAAATGAAATCCTACCAAAAGATATGGAACAGCTTGTAATGTTCTATAATATTTAAAGATATAAACGAGTACAAGATTTTAAAGCTATAGTTGCTTTACAAGTTGGACATTTTTTAGCTGTCTTCTGAAGAGATGTCTGCAAACATTCTGAGCAAAACAGATGTCCACAACGAGTAGTATAAGGTTTTAGTTTGGAAGATAATGCTTCGAAACATATTGGGCACGTAAGAGGTATTGGTTCTTTAATATCTGATTGAACTGTATAACATGTTTTATCTTCTTCAATAGTATCATCAAGGGTCAAAACTTCACTTGAATCTGTAGCCCGAGAAACTCTTCCTGTCTTTCTAGTATTTTTCCTAAAAATATATTTTTAGCCTTAAAATAAATCTATTTACTTTCCATTAAGAAATCAGTAAGGTATATACAAACGTTTGGATATTTTGTGTATTTCCTAAAACAATAGGAGGTATAGGCCTATGATGATCTGAATTGCTGGTTCTATTATCGCTAGAAGATACATTTTCGGCATTTCTCAGACATGATCTTAAAGGTCTGACTGACCTTGGTGATTCCTTAGTTAAATCGATAACATCTATTAAGTTGGGCGAAATATCTATTACTGAATCATCCATGGAATCATTTGTACCTTCCATTATATATATATATATATATATATATGTATCAATCTAAAAAATGTAGAAAATTAGGATATTTTTATATATTACATTTTGCTGCTAATTATAAAAACATTTAAATTTAATTATACTTATAATTAAATATAATTAAATTAATATTCATTATATTTATTATTATAAAAACAAATCTAGTAAAAGCTGTTTTATGTTAAAATGTAGCATCTTTTGTACGATGACAAAATCGTGTAGGTTAAGTTACAGATATAATGATACATTTCTATAATTCCGTCAAATCGCGAAGATAAGAACGTACGTTCATCGTTAACAGGCATTGCATATGAGGCACATACCTACTTTGCATAAATTATTAAAAAATTTCCAGTCACACTTCGTTACATTTATTAAAACTGTTTTTCAAATCTCAGCTGTCTCTTTTCTCTCCAAGTGCCTCCAACTGTCTGAAACTACTCTTGCAATGGGCGCATTCAACGGACTCAACAGTTGAGTGAGTTTTCGCTGTTATTGGTGTATTCTTTTAGATTATCCAATCAGAAATTTAGATCTAGAAAAAACATTAATTTGCAGCGAGCGCTCACCTAACTGTTGAATCTACTAAACGCAGCCGCTGTTGACCAGCGAACGCAGGTCGTAGACGGCAATCTTCAATCGCTAATAAAGTTGATAGGTTTAGACCGGAATCAGAGACTTTGAAAGATTGAAATATGACCAATCAAAACAATAGGAGCTAAAATTCCTTTGTCCTCATTGGTCAAATTTCAATCTTCAATCTCAATTTTCAATGCATAGTCCGATTTTGGCCTTAGAAACATTCAAGATCATAGGTTTTTTGTTCCTGTCCTGCACTAAATTGCACTAGAATATGCTAAAGACGCGGTTTGTTATTGGTGTGCTAACCAACAAATTTATTTTGAGAGACTCACAATCACAAAGATTTATATTGCCAATTCCAGTGGAAAAATGTCGGATGACAAGGAAAAGGATGAAGAAAAACCTGTAGTGCCAAAAACAGCCGTGGATCTGCAAAGATTGAAACTAATGAAATTAATGAAGAACGTTGTAAGAAGGCTTCCGTATTTATCTATTGATCTATGCGTTATCAGAATTGTATTATATAATTTGTGTTTTAATTGTACAGGATAAACCAGTTATACTACCGGAACGTCCAAAGGCCAAGAATACACCTTCTGTACCAGAATTTGTTCGTAATGTTATGGGTAGCAGTGCTGGAGCAGGTAGTGGAGAGTTTCACGTGTACAGACATCTGCGACGTAAGGAGTATGCACGGCAAAAATTTATTCAGGAGAAAGCACATAAGGTGATTATTGTATAACATATATCTAGAGTTATCTAAAAATCATCCATTTCTTTCTATTGGTTACAATTTTCTTTTGTCAAAATTATAGGAACATTTAGATGACGAATACCATCAGAAGTTGGAAGAGAATAAAAGATTAGCAGAAGAGACAACGGCAAAGAAACGTGCTAAGAGATTGAGGAAGAAGCAGGGACGTAAGCAGAAGAAACTTATGAAAGCTAACAATAAGGAGGACAATGCCATCATGGACGAAAAGTATAGTGAGGACGATAGTTCAGATGAGAACGAAGAAACTAAAACTGTAAAAAATAGTGAAGTAACTGAAGAAAATGACAGTTGTCCTAAGAACGTATCTACGAATGAAAGTGAAGTAATGTTAGCGACAGAAAAGGAATCATCATTATCTGTGGGAGAAAATCAAGAAGATACGTTAAAGACACAATCTGAGGTATCAAGTGAAAGTATTCAATGTGAAGATGGCACTTGACATATATATTAATGATCAGATATCTCTTGTTGAATTTGAGATTGATCTAGTTTCCATTGAATCACTCAATGTGGAGTACACTCAAAGTCTATGAAAATACGATTGACTGCACTTATTTCACTTCTGCTTTGATCCATAAAATTCAATCTAATGAAGAAATATTACTCCAAATTTTATCTGCACTATAGTGGAACCAAATTGAAGATTTCAGTGGAAACTAGAACATAGATTTTTTAAAGCAATGTATCAGTTACTCATCCGTGAAATTATATATCATACTGTATTATATATCATTATAATACAATTTCATATTGTATGGATTTTTTTAACAATATTAAAATAACTAATTTACATATATATTTTTAATTCCACTGATTTATGTGTTTTATCAAGCTTTCTCTATTAATAAAAATTATTGTAAATTATTGTAAATTGCAGTAAATAGCTGGTAGAAAAAAATGCTAAAATATATGTTACATTGCTTTATTTTTTTTTCGTCATTATTTTAGTTGTATATACAATTCTATATTGTAGAAGTAATGGCATCTAGATTGTCATAGCGATTAGTCTTCTCGAATATATTTGCCAAAGATTGAGCGATTTGTCGTTCTTCAACAGAATGTGCATTTTTCACATGTTGTGCTAATTGGACTTTTGCTTTAATTAAATCTCCTAGCTTTTCAGGTAAAACAGTCTCCTATAACAAAATTTCAATACATTAAAATTATAAAATTACATTCTTCTTATATATTTGATTTAATAATTATATTTTATATAACACACTATACCTGAAATTGTTTCATGAAATTGGAAATTTCTTCTAAATGGTCGCCAATCTCTATCCAAAGACTTTGCAGTTCATATTTTTCTGTATGGGCAGCCACGCAACTAAGAGTAAGGCACAACTGAAAAATATTTTCTGCTTGTTAAATAATAATTAAAAAGTATATATTTTTTATATCAATATATGATCAATAATATTCCAAGAATATTATTATGTATTAAAAGAAAGAGTACACTTACTTGCTGAATGAGTGCATCTCGATGCGGATATTCAACATAGCTTGGTACATGTTGAGCATTTTCAAATGCTAATACAATATTTTTCCACAACATTACAGTATATTTACCGTAATCATTACATGAAGACAGTGCCCATGCGGCGTTAGTTCGTACCTTAAAATTAGGACTATCGCATATCAAAGTTGAAAGCGCTGGAAATACTTGATCCTATAAAAATATCTAGTTTTACACATTTACACAAGATAAATTCATTAATCACATTTTTCCAAGTACATACTTTCCAAGAAGATGGCAATATCGCGTCCGGATCGTGGCTCAAAACCAATCCTAAAGCTCGGCAAGCGTTCCATCGTACCTAATGTTATAAATAAAACAGATTTATTTTTATTAAATAAATCAAGAAATATTTATTGCAGCTACATACTTCGTCATAGCAAAACAATAACAGAACATTTAACGCACAAGTGTCGAGATAATTGATCATAAATAAATCTAATTATTTTAAGTTAAAAAATATATACATAAATAATTACGGAAATTAATATTATAATAATTATTATAAAATCATCAGAACTTTTCTCTTACTTTCATATCGTTTCCTAAAACGGCACATTTAATAAGTGCGTCCAATCCTATTGCCGTGTCGGAAAGTATGTGTTTCTGTGGACATAAATATAAAATAGTTCCAATTGCTCTGACGGCGTTACACTTCACTTTATCATTATCTTTTGTAGCCTTAACGCTTATATGATACAGTTTGGGTAATAAATCTTCTAAAGGAAATGGTTCCACATCTTCATGCTGTCTGGATAAAAGATATATTTTTATATAAATAGAGAAGATATGTCGCGCGCAAAGAAGATAATGAAAGAAGAAAATCTAAAAAACAAACTTTTGCCTGGAAAGACAGTCACACAAATTCGCCAATGCCCAAGCACTTTTTACACGAACACCAAGATTTTTGTCTTCAAAAGCTGAACAAACTATATCAGCCAGATCCATGAGAAAGCCAGTATCGTGTTCCAAAGACGGTAAAGTTACCAACATTCCTAATGCACGTAAGCCAGCTGCTCTTACAGCGCTTTCTTCATCACGAACTGCTCCAAATAGAATTGTAATTATTAATATAACTCTTTGTCTCTGCAAATATAAATGAAAATAAAGCAGAATATTAGAGATGACATAAAAAATATTTAGCTTATAAATGTCATTAAGTTCATAAATGAAGAAATTAAAATTTGGATAAGATTATATCCTTTTTGTTCCAATTATTCTTACCGATAAATGAAGAAATTAAAATTTGGATAAGATTATATCCTTTTTGTTCCAATTATTCTTACCGATAATTGTGTGAAAACATTTCCACTGATGCTACCTAGACAATCGCAAGCAGCTTCTCGCAATATGGTCCGTGATGTTTGGGCGAGTGATATTATAGGTTCAAATATAATGTTCCAAAATAATATACCATTGCTATAAGTTTCAGTATTTGCGAGGCAACCGGACATAATCTCTAAAACTCGACATGCGTGCAATATTACTTGGTTTTCTGTTTCCTCCATAACCGAAATTAAAGCCGTAGTCACATTCTCCAAATGAGGAAATATAAGATTTCCTGTATTAAATACCAGTCTGCCCATAAGTTTTAAAGATTGAAGTCGTACAGGTGTATTAACTGACTAAAATGGAACGTAATTTTTTCAGTCTGACTGACAACTGCTTTAATTACAAAAAGCTTCAAATGTAAATCTCACGAAAAAAAATGTTATGTGTATCGTTTACATATACCTTATTAGATATATTTTGTAAACAAACGCGAACCAGCAAACAAACATTTTCATCTTTTGATATTGACGTGATCTCATTACAGCTATTTGTTGAATTTTCGATATCCTCGACATCTATTTCCTCTTCTTCTGTTCCAACATCACTGATAGAACTAGTATCAAACTGCGAACTTTCTGATCCTATTTCACCAACAGTTTGCTTAGCTAATATGTTTAATATTTCCTGCGTTATAGGTTCACTTGAGGCAAATGCTTCAAAAATAGATAATGCCGCAACTCGTACAGTCGGATCTAGAAAAATAACTTGACTGTAATGAAAGTAATAAATTAAAAATTAAATAGAATAATAAAGGCAAAATATACCTTTGTGAAATATATGCGGCTTACAATTCCTAACTAATTTGGTAGCCAAACCCGGTTTCAGTCGTTCGTATGGTGTGCCCTGTACAAGAGCTGCCGTACATTTTAACGCATGCGTTAACACAGCTACATTTTTTTCAGCTAGCAAAATTAATGATAATGTAAAATGTAGTTCCTTGACCATTAAACATACTGTGCCGAAGAATGTGATGAAAGAGGTATGATTGGTATCCTCGGCATGTATTAAAAATGGTTTAGCACCTATCAACAATTCAGTTAATGCGCACAATACATTCTGTCGCACTTTAGACACAGGTTCAACTAGTATGCTTCTTGTCAATACTCTTGCGTCGTTTCGTGAACCTGTAGCTACGATTTGCGGCCAGTATCCGAAAATCTCTTTACTCCGAGTGATTTCTATTAGAATCTGCAATAAACGTACTGCTCCCAATCTTACTTTGGAATCAATGTGGATAGAATTATTAATCTCTGTATCTGAAGTATCTGAATCACTGGAATATTTGGAAATTCCTGTGTGTTCTGGAATGGCACTATTTCCTGAATCGGACGTATTTTTCTTGGCTAGTGTTTTCCTGGATCTTGCTTTGTGATTTTTAAGATTCTTGCATTTGGGAACTATATGAACACGTTCTGGGAGATTCATGGCAGCTGGACGAAGTAATTGTGGCCTTGTGACTGAATAACCTTTGATGCCATAAAATAGGAACGCTTGCACCACTCCTAATATTTCTCCAATAAGATCAGGAGATTTAAGGATCAATTTTTCAATGATCATACAATGTAAAATGTGCAAGCATAAATTTATGATCTATAAATGTATAAGTAACTCAATAAAATGTATATGCATATATATCTTTTGAATTGTACGAAAAATAAATTACATACCTTACTGTAGTAAAGCTTATCATCATTATGATATGGTAAAAGTGATAAAATTTTAAAAATTATATCTTTTATCAAATATGTAAATTCATCTGATAAGCAATGATTATTGCTTTTGTTTGTTATAATTTCTTCTAAACATCCAAGTGCATGGAAATTAATTTCAGACCATGGGTTACATAATGGATTTAAATGTTTCATTAACAAACCCTTATCTTTAAGTAACAGACGTACATGCTGAAACATCAAGCAGTTGCCTAATTTTATATAATGATACAATTTTATTCAATAATCTGTTGTTGAAAAAGAAGCCATATACTAACATGATTGATGTCATCAAAATAATTAAAATGTAAAAAGCTTTTTATAGCGATTAATACATCAACTTGTGCCAGTGGGTCAGAAAACTCCAATGCTTCTAAAATCCATCGTTTGCAAGTTACAAATGTCCGACCATGAAGCTTGATGTTGCTCTGAGTTAAATTGTACAGAAATTTACAAACATTTTGAACTAAAAATGTTTCTGTAGGTAGAACTGCTGCACAAAGTTGATTCACCAATAATAATATCGCCTGGAAATAGATTACAATGTAATCTCAATAAATGACAAAGTGTAGTTTGAGATGCAACTAGTACATGTTTTGTATTAGTCAACAAAATATCAAATATTCCTTACATCATTATTTACAATATTGAGGCATCTGTAATCTAGTTCGTTGAGATCATTTAAACACGCGTTGATCTGTTTCTTGTTGCTGAGTTTTGTACTAGTTAACGAAAGTAGTCTTTCGATTAACGAACAAAACTGTGTCGTAGTATCACTAACTGCACGATTTACGAGTAACGAGGCCATGATCACAGTTTACATTAAATAATTTTGTTATTTAAAACAGCATAAATAACTTCAACAACTATCTTGTAATTTGTATATTACTACATATTGTGACATTGCACGATTTTTAATAGATTATAAAAAACGATGTATTTACTCCGTATAGAAATAAAACCTGAGAGCACCCATGGTATAAGCAGAGGGGCATTATTCTCTCTTTCGTTTTTGGTGCACTAGTGCAAATATGTGGCAGAAACGCGTAGATGTGTCCACCATTTTTAGGGGCCGATTGCCAAACTCTGTATTCTAGGGACATTCTAGGGTATGGTCAACGCGATGTTGCAAACGCTTTGAAGCGTTTTTTAATTGGTCAGTTTGTAAAATTCTTTCTTCTAATTGGTCCATCAAATGCTTCGAAGCATTTGTAGCGAGACTTTGACCACAGCCTAGGTCCGATTGCACCAATGGGTGCATTTAGTACTACTAACCATGATAAAAAGACAAGGGTATGCTCATGCGCATGACCAATCAGATTTTTGTCCTTGCTTACGTCACAACGAGTGGCTTACGCCACTGTTCAGCAATTTCAGATTGTTTTGGAAAGGTAAAATATTTAATTTTACTTCCCTCAGTTTTTTTTGTTTTTTTCATATAATTGCCGCATCCTTTCACTATGCAGGTCATCGTGAAAATATTTTTAACATTAACTTCTACCGATGACAACGTGCACTACGCCATGGACGCCATGATAAATTACGACCGATAACCACCGATTGCACCCGAATCAGAACCGACCAATCAACGCGTACCCGAATATGACGTAGGCAAGGACATGCGCAAGCTGAACGAGTTTTAGACAATTGATGAGCATACCCTTGTATTTTTATCATGCTACTAACGTTCAGTGAGCGCTCAGTGAGCTCTTACATCTGATTGGCATATTCCATTAGAACTAAAAATATAGACCAAACAGATATAAAGCCTTGTGTCCACGATGTAAAGCCTTGTGGTCCGAGACCTCGGATGAAGAAAGAATTGACCAATCGCAATGGTCATGTGATCAAATTGTTCAAATGTGATTTGTTAATTTTTTCTCTGTCCGAGATCTCGGAACGATTTCTAGTATCGTGGACATTGGGCTTAAGAGCTTGAGCGCTCATGGAAGCACCCAAATGGGAATGCGGCACCGCTTGCCACGTGGCAAGTTATTGCACTAACCAATAATTTTGTGTTCTTATGGCGTTTTTCACTAGTAGAACCGGTACGCACTCAGTGCACATTAAAGCTGTTGTATATTAACCTAATTTGACTGTAAAAGTGAGAAATCTCAGTTAATAAAATACCCAATGTATAGTTTATCAAATATCACAATAAAATGTATTAAGGATTTCGTGGTTTAATTCATTTCTATATTTTTATAAAATGTACATTTTTATGTCGATTTGTGTACAACGGCTTTAAAGTGCACTGAGTGCGCACTAGCTCTGCCAGTGAAAAACGCTATTAGATCGCGACCATGTGCGTTTCATACACTTACGGCGCGCGTTCGAATTCAGTGTGTTACCTTGTAACTTTTGAACAATTTGATCACATGACCATTGCGATTGGTCAATGCTTTCTTCATCCGAGATCTCGGACCGATTTCTAGCATCGTGGACACAAGGCTTTAGATCGGCCTCACTATGCAAAATTTCTATAATGATGTAATATTACTTCTGCCGCGTGGCAAAAGTTGGATTGAGTTCAACTTTTGTCGCGCGGTGGAAATGATATATCTATTACTTCCAAGCAAGCGAGACGCGAGACAATGGGCGCATTCAAGTTGACAAAACGGCTAGCCTGCTCGCCGAGCAAATGAACATAATTGGTTGTTACTTATAGATCCAACCAATCATATTTAATCGCTCGGTAAGCATACTTAGGCTGCGTTCGGAAACATCACCCGAGTGCTTCTGTGTATCGTTTTATCATTGTTGTTCAGCCAATGTTAAATAAGGATAAGGTGATACACAGGGGCACCCGGGTGATATTTCCGAACGCAGCCTTAGCTGCTTTGCCGTCTTCAACTCGCTCAATAAATTGTCTATCGCGCCAATTTCTGTCGCGCGGCAAGCGTTGGCTGCGTTCAATGTGCTGGAGCCAATACTTTGACTTTAAGGAAGACTTATGCCCGTATTCATAGTCAGGCCTTATATTTGAGGCTTCCTTAAATTTATCTTCAGATGCTCTACGAATTATTTCATAAATTATGGCTAATGAGCATATAAAGATAAATTTAAAGAAGCCTTAAGTACCCGAGGTCTGACTATGAATACAGGCATTAAAATTTTATCTGTCTCGTTTTAAAGCTGAAAAAAAAGGGAGAAACGAATTTTGTCTCGCTTAAAGTCAACGTAACGTTGGTGCAACCGGGCCTTATCGAACGACTCTCGTAGATGTGAAGTGCATATCACAATATCGACACTGTTGATAAAGTCGAACTGTTGAAAATGAATATGATACGAGTCCTGCTATATCCACAAATTGTGGATAAAGATAGATAATAATATACATATATAATTATAAATAAAGCCTTCCATACATATATAATTATATGTATATATTTATGCTTACGTAATTTTTCTTTTGCTCTAATCTATATACAGAAAGCGTCTAACTTTTGAATCATGAAGGAAGAAAAATAATACAGGATCACTTAGTTAACATCCTATCACTCTGGAAAATGTATGTATGTGTGTAAAATAAATATAATATTTATAATATACTAAAAATAAAAATTTATTTTAATTTAATAAATTGATATCAAATAAATTTATACATTATATTGTCTTAAACTTAAAATTGTTTTTTTTTGTATTCTATTAAAAACCATTTTGTGTTTTACTATAAAAAAAATATATTACATTGTATGCCTTTACAATGTAATGTATATAAGTATTTTTACATATATATTTTTCATAAAAATATGAAACATAATATAAGAATAAAAATAAGTGGAACGTTGTTTTCAATCTGACTTCTCTATGTGTAGAATATAAATCGTATATATAAATTATGTATCTAACGTTTCAAATGAACTAAATTTTTATGTTATATATTTACAATTCGGAAAACGCGAGTATACAATAGTTGCGTCACAAGTTAAAATTACGAAATAGTTAAATGTATTCAGTTTTATACGAAACAATGAAGCATATGTATGAGCGTCGACGGAAGTTTTTTAATCGCATTTGCGATTTCCGCGAGATTACGACGCGATTCCATGCCTTTCACTTGCGACTGAGTATAACATGCGAGTGTGTCGATCGAATGACTTTTTAACCGCATTTACAATTTCCGTAATAACGCGTGTAGCTTTACTCGCCTTTCGCATCTCATACTGCGTTGTATGATCCAATTGCACAAAAGTCATAGGTATATTAAATTTGTTACTAGAAACATTGAGGTTTATTTAAAAAGGTTACGGAATTAAAACTTTATTTAAATACATGTAAGAGCATTAGTTACATTCATGAAAATTTCATTTAATTTTAGTTGCCCAAATTGTTACTTACTCTCATTAATAATTTAAATCTTTTTAATAACAATTCAAAGAAAAATATTTAAAATATAGAAATACTGTACAACAATCTTAAATCACAGTTATAATTATTTTAATAACGTATGGCAACATATACTGAAATTATGATACATTGATAATGTATGGAATCAAGTCTTTCAGTAACTTGCAGTGGTCAATTGCAATTGGTCAATTGACACTATCCGTGCCCCGACGCATATCTACAAACTACATTTATTATATTAACAGAGAAAAAATTTATTGTAAAATTATCTATTTAAATGTATATTTGTAACGTATGTAATTGTTTTCATTGGCATTAATAATTGCGTATGAAATGCTGTTCTTTACAATAGTCAATTGCAAGCTTTAGGTATGCGCTGTATGCACGAAATGCGCGAATGAGTGCTGAAACACATTGACAAGCACATCGGAATACTTCTTGCAAATCTTGTATATATACAAGAGATATTTCACGATTGTGAAAGAAATAGAAAATGTTTTTATGTGTAAAAAATGAATAAATAATTTAATGCTCATTTCTGATGCAAGCATGTATCACATTTGATAGCATGCTTAACAATTTGGCAGTTAAAAGGAATGGTAACATTACAAGTGGATCAGACTCGTGAAACTTTAGCAAATTTTACATATGTATAAATGTTACGATGAGAATCTTGTGCTATCAAGTCTAACAAATTTTCTCAAGTTTCATTATGTGTTGTTCAATCAACCAACTTTCTAAATCTTTTGCACTGTGTCATTAAACTGTGCCTATTAATTAATATACAAATAACTGCACTCTCGAACTAGTCTCTAAAGCTTTACCATTGTTTTGTTCAAGATACATCAATAATACCGTGTTATTCGAGAATATTTCCATCGCTAAACGATATTATTCAATAATACGGTTTCACGCTTTGCGTTTGTGGAATATATAAATTTACGATTGATTTGGTTGACAGGCCGCATATATTGGTCTTGCTTTTTCCTTTGCTAAATCCGTGGCTTTCTTAGCAGCGTCTTTGACCTTCTCTGCTTTACCCTGTAAAGAATGCTGTAAGTCCTCTGCAAGGCTCGGCTTTATCGTAACACCATCATCTGCAGTGCTGTGGCCGGCTTGCACCGAAAAACTCGTCTGAGATAGATTTGGATTTAGAAACTGTGTTGTATGAGGAAACATATTTGCAAGAACGTAATTGAAGCCCTCCGACATTTTGGCGCAATTCTTTTTAAACCGATCTAAGCCAAAGGCTTGAATTGCTCTGCTGAAACCAAAGACTTGACTGTCTATCCATGCCGATCTCTTTGCAATTGTCCAGTCTGGATTTTCATCAGAGATTTGATAAACCACTTTCTCGACAATACTCTGAAAAAAATATATATAATTATAATTCCTTAGGTTAAAAACCTAATTATCGATTATAATCATTAATAATTATAATTGTTTTCTATATCAAGATCATCAATCTTTAAATGTTTTTACTATTTAACAATCAAACAGATAACAGAATTTATAACTAAAAATTAGTTTTATAAATTATGTATGTTTGGTATTAATTTTATACTAATTCATTTAAAATAGGACTTTTTGTAAAGAGAAAAAACAAAATATCTTCATTATCTATTTCTCTAAAATTGATTTAGATCACCCAGGAAACAAGTTAACATTTATTGTTTTAACATTTGTCTTAAAATAATGACAATATCAGTTTGTTTTCTAGGTAGCCTACCATAACTTTGGTGTATCCCAAATTCCTTGTATACGTAGTCAGAGTCTTTGCTTCTGGATCAACAATACTCTCTTCCACGATTTTTACAATGTTTTTACTAACAAATCTTTCACCCCATTTGGGTACTCTGTTGGTTTTCGTCAGCAGCCGCTTGGAGTAGAGCTTTCCATTTTTAACTTCTCTGGAGATCGTATCCTCGGTGAGAACGTGTGAACTGAAAATCGTATTGCACGTGAATTCTGATGAATGCGCAATGTTATGTAATATTTGTATTTTAGTTACGCATGTGATGTAACGTGTCCGGTTACCTGTGCGGATTCGGATATCTCTGAAAGAATCCTCGAACGACCTGTGTCCAATCGAACTTGAAGACTGTGATGTTCTCATAATATTTCACCATCGTGCAAGGACGACGAATCCGTTTTTACTCGACGGGGAAAAAGGTCTGTGAAGAAAGCAACGTGAGCGGTAGTGCGAATCTTCGACGAGATTGACACAGATTACCGCGAGAATACGGTCGGCAATGGATCTGAATGGATCAGAATCCCCGGCGAATACGCCGCTTGTAGGACATAACGAAAATCATGTATTTAACACGCGATTACGTGCATTGAAGCAATGCGCAGTGATAAAAATGCAGCAAGAAGAGAGAGGGAATCATGGAAATAGAAGAACTGAGAGTTGCGCTCGCGCCTGCGAAACGAAACGCGAATCATTACCGAAACCATTGATAGGATATTATCATGGATAGAGACTAATGGCTACTGTACACTGGACGCGATGAGCGATTAGCGACGAGCGATATCCAATAAAAACTCTGCTTTTTCTCACGTGACGACGCAAAGCAAAGCTCTCATTGGGTATCGCTCGTCGCTCATCGCTCATCGCGTCCAGTGTGCAATAACCATAATGCCTCCGGCACACCAGCGCGATGTTCGTCGCGCGCGACACGCGATATCCAATGAATGTACAGCTTTACCGATGTTCTCATTCTAAAGGTATACTCTCATTGGATATCGCGTGTCGCGCGCGACGAACATCGCGCTGGTGTGCCGGAGCCATAAGGCCGGCATTCATAGGCTGTGTTCAGCAGACTCAGCAGTTTTGCAACCTTTATATCTCAATTTTGGACTTTTTCTTGTTTAGAATGGCCAATGGTTGATTGAACGCGTTTTCACGGTTCAACCTCGGCGAATCAGGCGGATGTGCTGCGGCACATCTATCGTTTCATAGTCCATGGTGTAGTCAACTTCCTTTTCTACGGCACGAAAAATCCGTGAGGTGCGTGATACATATTGCTGTATAGAATAATCTGTGAGCATCGGGTATTTTAACGGTTTTTCCGCCACATTTCGCGCCGCGTTTGCGATCAATGTGCAACGCGGTCCCCATTCACATGTTGATGTTTGATTTCTGCCCTCGAAGTATATTTGCTACCAGACAATCGCGGGGTTAACCTCTCCGGTCGAGCCCCACGTCGCGTTCCACAACGACCGGCTGCTCGGTTGTTATCAATTTCTCGCGATTCCGTTACTTCTCGGAACGTCACACCACGTAACGCGATGCCTCTGGTTCTTTTGTTCTTTTTTTAGATTATAAATTGGTCTGTCACGCGGTACGAGAGGTTATGTGACGCTTGATATTTTAAGATGTTTACATTGCCAGCAAGGATTTATTTCGATATGATTTGCTTTAGATGAAAAATAGTAACACTAACATTTTCGATTCTATAGAAACACTCGTTAGAATATAACTCGTAGTTATGTCATAGTTTGAAATTTCTTATCTTATAAGTCATAATTTGTAGTTTATATGTATATGCCTTGTTTCTTTTTCAGCATACACCAAAATGGTGAAAATTATGAAAATAGGGAAAGTCGTGCTGGTCCTCAGCGGCCGGTACGCAGGAAGAAAAGCCATTGTCATGCGTAATTATGATGAAGGTACAGCAGAAAAACAATATGGACATGCTATGGTTGCAGGCATTGACCGGTATCCACGCAAAGTCCACAAAAGGATGGGCAAGGGTAAACTGCATAAACGGTCTAAAATCAAGCCCTTTGTTAAGGTACATTTTCTCATTCTCATAAAATTCTTTTTGGAAATCTTGGATAAAGTAGAAATTTTCAATATTTTTATTATATGTCCTGATTTATTTGTAAAACATTTTAGATCCTAAATTATAATCATTTAATGCCAACAAGATATACAGTGGATCTACAGTTGGAAAAAGTGGCTCCTAAAGATCTTAAGGACCCAATGAAGCGCAAGAAGGTTCGTTTCCAGACGCGTGTCAAATTTGAAGAGAGGTACGTAATTTAATATACTGCTGTCATCTCAAAATCCGTGCATCATAATCATAATTATTATCTAATTTTTGATCGTATTTTCCAGGTATAAAAACGGTAAAAACAAATGGTTTTTCCAGAAATTAAGATTCTAATTGTTTCTAAATAAAAGTCTGATATACAGATGTAAAAAGGTGAATACAATTTTTTCCATCACATTATCCTATGTAAACGAGATATATTGAACCTTTTTATATATATTTTTATTACCTTCTATTTTATCTTTTTTTAATTTAATCTACTTATACTTAAGTTATACTTCATAAGTCTCGTTAACTCCTACCATTCATATTACACACATATATACATATACATATATATATATATATAATATTCAATAAAACTTGTAAGTTTTTTTACTGAAATTCCAGTTTTATTTTAATTTGCATGTTTTATTACATGAAGTTATATTTTTTATGTTTGTGCATTGCATATCTAAACGAATTTAATAGGCTTTTATTTCAGTAGTTATACTGTAGAAATTAAATGTTATATTATAACAAAATATTCAAGAATAAAGTAACGAAATAATTGTGATATAAGGAAAAATATATAGAATTTATAAATTATATTAAATAAACAATAACTTAACTTGATAGAAATATATAAAGACTCCGAGTATATAAAGCGAATTTTATAAATTGATCTAGCTGTGCTTTATGACTAGATCTCTACTTTATTTTGTTCAGTTTTTTGACACGTTCATCGAGCAACGCTAAGTTGCTTTTTATGACCTCCATATTAGAAGCAAAACTTTCCTGAACTCCCTTCAGTAGAGACTTGTTACTTTCTAATCCCGACGAGATTTCTACTTGCAGCTCCTCTAATTTTATTAAAGATTTACTGAAAACAGCAGCTGAAATGCAATACATTTTCTTAGAATGCATTTTTAGATAAGCATACATTCGACATCGTTGATTAGTTATACCTTGTTGATGAATATCACTCAATGCCAATAATCTTTCTACTGTTTGTGGTAATATTTGTGATATAGCATCCGTTTTCTTCATTATTTCATACATTTCCGAGATCTGTAAGAAAAAAATACGAAAGAAACGATTCATTATGCAAGATATATTGTAAAGTTAAAAACACTCGGTATCTTACCTTTTGCTCTTGCTCCGATTCTTGTTCCGTTGTTGCCCTTTTCTGCGCAATACTGTCCATCCGGTAAATCAATGTGCCTAATCTCGTTTCGATGGTGTCCAATTGATTAACATCTAACAACGAAGCCTTCGCTTCTAATTGTTGCACAGCTTCCATGACGCCCTGACATTTAAGATTCTGTGAAGAAAAATTAAGTTACAAATCTCTGAAATATGTATGCTTGAAAAATTTTAATGAGTTCTACCTGCGAAAATTTCGAAAGCTTGTCGTTACTTGTTCCTATGATATTTTCTAGACAGCAAAGTCTTTGCTCGAGCTGTGCGATCCTAGCAGCTTCCTGCATTCTTGCTTTTTCTGGCAAATACATCATCTGATACTTAAGAGTACCAGGCTCAACCAACTCGTCTGTCTTTGTACTCTCCGACGTTTTGGTGGAAGGCATACTGGTTTGCTTAAACAATTCTATCTGCGATATCAATTGCCTGTAAAATTAACATCATTCTATAATACAATTCTTCAAAGGAAAAATGACATTTGTACGTAATAGATAATAGGTTTTCAATTTCACATACTTAAGTATAGTGCCTTGTGGATCTGATAGACTTGCAATTACATCAGGTCCTAAACACTCTTCCAATTTCAGAGAAACCAATTGTTTTTCTATCTGTTGTGCTTGAGCAATGATTTCGCTCACAGATTTGATCTCTTCCTCATCCTTGGATTTTTCCTGCATACATTATTAATGTATATTAATTCTTAGGGTGTTATTATGAACTACAGAATAATTTTAGCATATTCTATTGACAACGATAGTTTACCTTTAATTCATTCAACTCTTCATACAATTCCTTAATTTCACATTGTAGTCGTTGGAACTTTTGGAGAGGAGTCTCTTTCTCACCCTCACCAGCGAGTTCCCAATCGCCGAATCTAGAAATATTTGTGTTTCTATTGTTCTAGATTATTAAACATATTATTAGAATAGCTCACTTGTATCCTGTTCTTGGCTTGTTAGATAGACGATCTGAGAAATCAACCGGCTTTCCGACAATCTGTTTGCCCTTGAACTTGTTGAATGCCTCTTTGGCACTGATGTGTAGCTGTTCCACGCAAGAGCTATCAGGTTCATCCTAAACAATCGATCAATTAATACAATGAATGTTATGTACAATGCATATTTTACATTACATCTTTTACCTCGCAGTATATTTGCATTTGCTCCGATTCTGGCAAATCACTTGTCTCGTAAACGTCAAGCTGGTCGTACGCCTAGGACATTTATTCAGTGTACGACATAAAACCGTTTATTCGTGAGGAAATGCATAAAATTATAATAAACGTGTAAAGTAGGTATAAGAAAACTTACAATTCCAGGTAAATCAGCGTATTTGGGGTCCGCCATTTCTTGCGATTTCCTAAGGAATTCAGAAATAATACGGAGTGTTGTCACTGTTGTCAGAGCTTGGTAAGGCGTCCGTAAGTATACACCCGTATACACTATGGGCGCATTCAGTGAACTTAACAGTTGAGTGAGCGCTCGCTGTTATTGGTGTATTCTTTTAGATTATCCAATCAAATCTTTAGTTCTAGAAGAATACACCAATAGCAGCGGGCGCTCACTCAACTGTTGTGTCCATCGAATGCGATGCATTAATTCAGGTCATAGTAGTGATTTGACTTACCGATGTGTCGATAATTTATATAATATATAATTTATTATCAAAAGGGATATATCGACTCAGCATCGGCAAGTCAAATCGCTACTTGTACGGCATTGAACTAAATTTTATAACTGTGATTAACAGTGAATGATAAGAATATAAAGTTGATAAGAATATGATTTGAGCTTTATTTATTTTTTCTAATTTCCTAAAAAAACTGCATTTTTAAAGCAGTTTTCTAGTTCCTAACGGTTTAAAATAAAAAAAAACTTAATGATTTAATTGTGCTCTTATCACAACATATTGTGTAGCTATTCGTATAAGGTTAAATAGATTTTTAATAAGAAATAATTTTTACGATTTAATTTAATATTTTTATTTTAGTTTATATTTCTTTCTTCTGAAGAATTTATGTTATAAAAATATAATAATGTCTTTGATTTATCATTTTAGAAAGTGTGAAGTCCTTGAAAACATTTTGAGAAAAAATAAAATTTAATATCGCGTGTGATTTGTCGCATGAAATAAAGTTAATATAGTACAGTTCTGTAAAACAGAGGAATGTAAATAAGTTTACATTCCTTTACAATTTATATGTTTCAATTTTCCTCTTTCCTCTCTCTTTTCCTTACTGGTTAAATTATAGATGCACGAAATGCCTTCAATAAAATATTTTTCTGGTAAGAGTCCGAGTTTGTTATTAGACTGCTAACGTTATGTACACGTGCATAATTAAAGTTCGTTTAAATTATTTATGAAATTACATTTTTATGAAATTGTTCTGATGCCATAAATCGCCACAAGGTAATAATTCTTTAATAATATATCTGACACTTTTAATATTTTTATTTATTTTAAAATAAAATAAAGAGCTGTAAAATAAAAATTGCTTTCCACACGCTTTGAATCGTATCATAAAATTAATGCAAGCAGAAAGCATTTTGAAAACCTCTTTCGCTATAAGCTATATTATAAGACAATAGCGAATTTAATCAGTTCGCAAAGATAAATACCATACGAAACAAGTTCCACATATTGTTTCTCTTGATGTTCAACTTGTACACTCTCTTTTCTTCAACCTCGTTTCCACGTAAAAGTCGCATTATTATTCTACGCTGAAAATAGAAGAGAATAAATCGCGAGATTCCTGAGCAATTGATTCTGTGTGTATATTTTAAATTGTTTTATCGTGGTCGGCTTTTTGATAATCACTTTCACCAACAAATCAAGAAAGATGAGCCGACTTATTGTGGCTTTATACATGAAATTTCAGTAGCTTCACAGAAATTACTACTATCATAAATTGGAGAGAAGTTTATTATTTAAGTCTCATTAAAACAAAAAGAATTTACCAATTTAATAAATTTTTATTTTTACTTAAAAAATAAAAGAAAGGAAAATATAAATATAAAACCTATAATATATATTTATTTAATTTTATATGTATATGTATATATAATATATATACATATAAAATTAAATTATACCTATATATACAAAGTCAAAAGTAAATTTTTGGAGAATTATAGACGATAAAATTCGATGTTTTGTTGAATTTACTGTGATATAATGCAAATATTAATAGCGAAATTAAAAATAATATTTGAGCAATATTAATCATATTTCAAAAAGAAGGATCGACCATAGTGATATCCGACCTTGACTGTACTTCCTTCCGGATATAATAATCCGCGGAGAAATCTATTGCCAAAAATATCTCAATCGATCCGTTTTGCATACGAATTTCGTCATTAGTTTTGAGAATTCTCATTTATCGTATAATACGGTTTTCTTATCTATTTATCTCTCAATTACTGGCATGCTGTTACACGTTTTGCATGGAAATGTGCTGCAATTGAGCGTGCAAGGACGGCGTCTTTTGTAGGTGCGGAGCTACAATGTGTTACACATACTTATCAAAAATAAAACGCGTTCGTTTGATTTTTGCTTGACGCCACACCAGAACTAGTCCCGTGTCTTGTCATGCGTGCGTTTCCTTCGTTCTTTTTCCATTGGCATTAAAAAAATGTCTAGTTCCTTTCGCTTTCGATTGGGTAGTTTGGACGTTGTCCGGTAGTAGCAATCTATTCATCAATTTGATAGTGATTTTTGACATAAATAATTTTAACTCGTTTGACTACTTGTTATATATACTTCCGCACCTTAAGTTAGTTTATATTTAATCGCTTTTTAGAATATTTTTTGCCGCATACTCTTTTTAGTCGAACTGACTTTTCCTCAAAAATTATGAGTAAATACTTTTTGAATTATTGAGGGGATGGGCGAAATAAAGATCTAATTACAAAATCTTGATATTAATACAGATTAAAATAACTTGCTACTTTTTTATTATACACAAATGGGTACAATATTAAATGAATTTATGTAATGTCTTTAAGAAGTTATATGTTATAATACTTTTTTATTATGATCAATATTACATGAAAAAGCTAATTTCCGGATAAAGAGCCTAAGTAGAATTGTGCCTTTATTCCGCCCAACTCCTCAATTAATAATTAACCATAAAGAATTTTAGTCATAATAAATTAAGTTTTTCGAACGAAGAAATATGAGGAAGAAGATTCTATGTTTCGCTCAATATTACAGGCATCTCGTATCAATAAAATAAAATAAATAATTATAAAAGCGTACTGTACCTGCTAAGAGACCAACAGGTGTAAGTAAGTGCTAAAGCATGACAAGCGAAACGAACGACGGCGAAACAATCGGAAATAGAGAGAAGAGCCGAGCGATCGCGCGCGGAGAACCCGGAAGGAACAGGTCGTCCTCTCATCTGCCGCTGGCAGGATCTACGCTAGCCAGGTGAGCACAGGTGAGTATACCCGGCCCAGTGTACGGTCGGCCGTCGGCACGGCAAGAAGCGCATGTAAAAGCGATAGGCTGAAGAGCCCCGAGTGCATTCAACTCGGGGAATCGTGTATCGTGAATCGCGAATAGCGACGAGACGCGACGCGTTCGTAATACTTACTTACTCCCGGCGAAGAAGAATCGAGGAACATGTTTGGGATATATCGCATTGGTGGATACGCATTACTGGTAAGTGAAGTCGATTCGTCATGACTTTTGTCGTCAACCTAGCTATTTCGTCATTAGTCTCGGTCGCGGTAAGCACAGACCCATGAAATACGAACGCGTGCCGCGTGACTTTTGCAATGGTTTCTTAACTAGGGTTCTTATACAATTATGATTTTTTACATATGCGGAAGCACGTTTGTTTACGTCTGCAAAAATGCTATTGCCATTCTAATACGTAAAGTCTACTTGAAACGATCTGCAATTTGTGCCTAGATATTATAGGATCGAATATAATTTTAGACAATCTGTAATTCATGTCAAATTTTTTTTATAATTCTACTTGTAATTTATTAATTTATTTTATAATTAATAAACCAAGAAATTATAGAATAAACCAATAAATTGTAGAATAAATCAATTTCAACATATAAATTATAGATTACATTTATAATTTTATATGCTGTGCATTCTCTGTTTATAATTTCATATTATATTGTTGCTTATATTAATATGTTTACGTTATATTATATATATATATATTTTATACATATATGTATTTTTTCTCAAACAGGTATATATGTGAATGTATTCTGTGATTTCTTAAACGTTTTTTATGTTACATCTCTCACGTAAAATTATGAAAATAATTCTATCTTGAACCTTAATACGAATTATAGATCCTCTAAAATAAGAGTTAAAAAAATAGCTGATCAATTTTTATTAACATTTAGATACAAATAATTTGAAATATGTTTTATTGATAATTGTAGAATAAACTAATATGTAAATTGTTTCAAACAAAAGACTTTTGTCCAATATCTACTCGTGTAAAGCCAGATTTCTCATAAATTTTGTATGTATTACATGTGTAATCTGTTTTTTTTTAAATTCTTATAATCTTTTTTAGACAATCTGTAATTCGTGTCAAATTTAAGAATATAATTGTATTTATAATTTTATATGTTGTGTATATTTTGGCGTATATTCCTACATATTTTAATTCTTATTTCAAATTATTTTTGTATTACATTGCATGTAATACAAAAATATTACGAATAAAATTCCTAAATTCTGATATGAATGAATTACAAATTATTTAAAGGGACTTAATATAAAAAATCTAATGATTGTCGTAAGTCCAATTGTCATTTTCACAAATTTATTACATATGTAAAAATGGAACGCATATCAAAAGTTACATGATTAGGTACGCTTCATTGCATTATATAAACTACACAAAATATTTTAATTAATTTAATTAATAATTATATTAAAATTTTTGTAAAATGTAATTCCTAAATGTATCGAATGACATTCCGAATTTTTGCACACAAACAGTTTGCCCGAAAACAGGTTACGAGGCTAGTGGTTGGCGAAGTAAAAAAAAAAAATAAAAAGGGGGCGGCAGAAGAGAATAAAATAGCATCCTTATTCCATGGCGATCGAGCGTAGAAGCGTCGCTTGAATTTTAACTCGACAGCCGCTCTCACATCGTTTACAAACAGCCGCAAAGTGGAGTGGACTAAAAGCGCGGGTCAGCGAGCGCTCTCGTTTTAGGAAACTTCTTGAGAAGGTGACAAGGTCAAGGTTCATCGTCGTCAAAGAGATCTGCGTCCGGGGAAGAGAGCGGAAGAGGGTACATTAAAAAATACCTGATTAGTGATGCATTGTCAGGGTGAAATTTATAGATTATTTCATAATAATATCGATGCAGGCACTTCCGTGAAGAGGTGATTAATCATTTTCTTGAAATTACGAGAGCAATTTTACTTTATACAATAGGCACTGA